GCTTAATATCTGCTTATGTGTTAATAATAATATCTTATATGATGACGATGATGATGTCTGATGATGATGATGATCTTTGTTTAATACGTATGGACAATCATGTACTTAGGAACAATGTCATATATGTTTTATCTTGTCTTGAAAAAAAAAAATGAAAAAATAATAAAAATAAATAAAATTAAAAAAAGAGTAGCTAGTGCTGATTAAGTTTTAATAACTTTTTGTTGAGTAAAGTTACCGTGCGTTTAACCTATACAATTTAACTTTAGTAGCACGTGAAATGGGACTCTGTGATAAGTATTCAACGATATTTTCAATGACAAATCTCGTTCAGTTGTTAACTAACGCTAAGAGTACGAAATTTTACAGACAATGTATATTGAGGCTCATATTGAACAGCTATGAATTTTGAAAGAATCCTTTCTTACGGTTTCGTCAAATAGATTTCTCACATGCTAAACGGCATGGTTAGACTGATTTGCATAATGTGTATATTCCCATGTTATTTTATGATATAGATATTCTTGATTGCTTTGTTATGCAGTAGATGTCGTATTTTGCTTATTAATCTCCTCTCATGTTATATCATATGTTGTGAAATTTAAACCTATAGTGAAGGCGTCGTAAATTTGTGACGGCAAGTCAGCGTCCGTGAAGACAATTTGTCAATGGTCTAATACGACTAATATATATATATGGTTTTCACAAACATTTGCATCACTCTGTAACGTGATAAAATGGTCTTGTTCAAATTTATATATTGAAAAAATGTAAAATATAGAACAGTTCCAATTGGGCGGCCTGTGGTAATAGTTTGTAGAAACCCGATATAACAACCATACGTAATTTTAAGCAGCATGTGATATGAACGACCAATGGTAGTATACTTACCGTCACTCCCTGTCTGTTCCCCTGTCGTCGATGTATCGCCTCCTGTGGAACTGACCGATGGGGGATAAGTAGGGGTCGGAGTGAATGTTGTCTGGCTAACGTGTGTCGATGTTAAAGGTTCTGCTGTTGTTGATGTTGTCCGATCTGTTGTTGTCGTCGGTGTTGTTGTTGTTGTTGTTGTGGTGGTCGTCAATGTCGTTGTTGTTGTCGTCGGTGTCGTTGTTGTCGATGTTGTTGAAGTTTTAGTTGAGGAGCTGTTGACTTTCCCCTGTGGTCCGTTACAGGTAACGATGATGTCTAAAATTGTACTTCCTACAGAATGTATAGAGACAATCTGAATATAATAGTGCTTAATATGTCTTGTTACTGACAAATATATTGGGTCGCCGTAGGGAATGAACAATAATTATGGGAGGATATACTTTTTTTCTATTTTTGGGAAATGTTAAATAATCTAAAGCTCAACTATTAAAACACGGTAGTTTCAAGATAACATCATGTCTGAAGCGCTATAATTTATCACACATTAAAAGGAGGTAAATATATTTTAATTTTATATTGTCACACAGATTTAATGTTTGCAAACGATTACATGTATTGTTATATACACCAAGCTTTTTCTCGGCAACCGGCATAATGTATGAATTCGCCTCAGATAATTAATTATTAGAATTGATTTATCAAAATTAGTTGAATAAGCCTTTCATCTTAAATATTTAAACAAATAACAATAAATGCGTATACCTTGTGAAGAAATTAATATACAGTGTCCTGATATCCACGATGTACTGACGTCAGCCCGTGATAGCGTCAGTGTCAATTTGTCTGATGTGCTGAAATTGTTTGTCGAAGTGGAAGGGATTAGGGTGCAACCAGATTTAGTGAAACTACTTGATTTAGTAGAAGATATCAAAAGTATACTTCCACAGTTCTGTATTGGTGCTACACGCGGATATTCCTCCACTACTACTGTTGTTGTAGCTGTAGGTGGCGTTGATTCTGTATCCAAGGTAACGGTACAGGTACAGCTGTATGTACCCGGACCTCCAGTACCCCAAGTGTCTATCACAACACGTGTGTTTTTCAATATACCGCTTTCGCACATTCTTTTAACTGTAATTATAAATTCACAAATAATACGTATATATATGTAAATATACTCAATGTCAAATCAATAGCATTCATTGTGATTTCGCAATCATTTAACAGTTGGTACGATTATATACAGAAATCAAGCTGTCAAAAAAGGGGAAGAAATTGTGAAGGAATACTTACCTGATAATTTTAGAGAAAATATGGCCCAAGATGGTTTCTGATATAAATGATACCGAATTACATGGGTGAAAAAAAATTTTGCTTGAAGGATTTGGAATGGACCCCCCTTTTCACCCCTTAAGGAGCTAAATCTGAATGTGATTTTGTTTTAAATCAATGCACTGTAACTGCTTATACACGCGACTGTACAAGTTAGTAATAAAAGGAAAATGTATGGAAAGATTTCAAAAAGGCATAAACTTGACGGAGAGAGAGGGAGAGTGTTCAATTTCAGCTCATTGAATAACTGGCGTATTATTTGTGTCCAAACGACTTTTTACGCTGCAACATCTCTCATGCAGTACCAGCATTTTTATCGTAGTATAAAAGTGCTAGTAAACAGGAAGGAAAATGAATAGAAACAAAAATATGAACATGAAATAAAAACGATTTAAAACTTAGAAGATAGTTTTATTATAACTAAGTAACATTATATTCATGTTAAGGTTGCTAATGCCCACATGTATACATTAGGACGTTACGTTCCAGACTATGGTCATGAGTGGATGAATCAAGAGTTGAAGTACATGATTCAGTGGAACACAGACCAGTCTACTTATATTAGTGAATGACTCTTGCTTTTTATTCTGTTTTCATACTGTAAATGTTGCGAATAAATGGTTTGGGAAAAAACAAAAGTCACTTTAACTTTATAATCCTAAATAATTACTCAAAATGCAACATCATGGTCATGTTAGTTGCTTTAATACAGAATGTCATATCATTTAAATCATATTTACTTACTTACATATAACATCAGTTGAGGTGTTACCTAACAAATGAGCAAATACGTTATAAAAATGTTTTATACATTAAATTTGATATAGTAATACATTACCATGGTTAAAATTGTCCAGTCCAGTTTGGTCAGTACATGCCGTCGTGTTGATACCTGTAATAGATACTACAGTTGTACACATATTAACCATAACATAACACAGATGTTTATAAGAACGCATTTTTTTTTTACTCGTGTGCTTAACTTAGAATTAAAAATGTATGACTCAACTTTATATAGATAAGACACTTTCGCAATAACAAATGCATATACATATGACAGCTACATATGGATACATTGCTACAGATCTAATCTTCATAGTTGGCTATTAACACTGTTCTTTAATGTTTTTAACTTTCTGCAAGAAAGCGGGATATTATTTCATAAAGAGGCTTCCTGTACCGTTAAATATGGTCCATGTTGAGGTATATTTAACATGGATTCAGAAAATAAACTGAGTGATGGCGGTATGCTACTCTACGTACACAGGTGATGGCCTTGAGATTCACACCAAGGTAGTGTACATAACACTACTGGTACTGTCAAAGCTTACACCTGTGTTATCTAAAGAAGTCGAAATAATTTCAGAAATACATCATAGGAAGACAATACATTAGACTTGGAAAAACGTTTATATGGATTTCACTAAGGACAACCATATTAAAGCTGAAATAATTTTTAAAACACGAAGAAAATAACGCGGTGTTTATGTACATGAACTAATGAATTACATTATATACGTAAAATTAGAGCATAACCACCGACCACAGCTGTAAATCATACTGAAACGTTAAGATTAACAGCAGGGGTCCAGGTGAGGGCGTAATGGGCGTACGAGTAGATGGATTACCAAACGTATATGTGATCTTACGATCCTATCAACAATGAATATTGCCTTGTTCCTATGCTATGATACCAATGACAGAAATATATACAGGATTAACATTCATATTATTGGTGTTGTGCTGGCTTTACTTTCGTTTTAAAGCTTCCTTCACCAGATTATCTCATTGATCTTGTGATTTTATTGCTTTGTTTAGGTGGTGTGGATTATTCAGCATACGTTGACCATAACAGGAAAATAATTGGGACAAATATAAATACAAAATACGTTAAAACTGAAACTAAACTTCTTTCACAACTACTATGTAACAACTAATGAGGCAAGACGATATTACAGATATGTTGTGTTGAACCAGAGTGTACACACCGTCGAGTTGATAAGACACCTTTGTATGCGGCGAAAACAATTCAATTGTCTTCATTTTCTTAATACTTGGTATAATTCAACATGCTAGTATTACTATATAAATTAACACTACCAAACAACAATTAATACCGTTTAATTTTCAAAATTAAACACATTTATTTTTGTGTTTGATAATTAGTGGTGTGTTGCCTCAAAGCGAGGAGCACTTTAGCCAAGCAGACATACGCACAACAGTTTATGTTAATTACAAGACAAAACGCCGGTACTACATATACTGGTATATGGTCTCAGACCACAATTAATTCTACTTTATGTTATACCAAATGAAAAAAAATATTAAAATGTTTTAAAACTTTGCACAGGGTCTGGTTCCTATTTCATATTGTAGA